ACTAATCATCACACGCAGGGCCGTTTGTTGCTGATCATCTGAACAGGCACATTATGATCAGTTACAAGCAGGAGTAACTTCGATATCGTGGTCGCATAGTCATGACTGGCTGATCTCAGGAGGACAAAAGGGCGACATCAAATACTGGCGACCGAATTTCAACAACGTGGAGACGATCGATGATGCACATCACGACGCCGTACGAGATTTAGCATGGTCACCGAGCGACACCAAATTTCTTTCCGCGTCTGATGATACGACCCTAAAGATCTTTGACTTCACCTCACGAACCGCCGACACCGTTCTTACAGGTCATAACTGGGATGTCAAATCGTGCGATTGGCACCCGACAAAAGGCCTTCTGGTGTCCGGTTCGAAAGACCACCAGGTCAAGTTCTGGGATCCTCGCACCGCTAGGTGCTTGACGACCCTCCACAGCCATAAGAATACCGTCACGACTACCCGATTCTCGCGAGTAAACAGCAATCTTCTCGCTACATCATCGCGTGATCAGACTGCGCGAGTGTTTGATCTACGTATGATGCGGGATATCTGCATCCTCCGGGGTCATGAGAAGCCTATTTCATCTCTTACATGGCATCCTATTCACAGTTCCCTCATTTCCACAGGGAGCGAGGATGGATCATTATACCATTATTTACTTGATGAACCCAACCATCCATCAGGACAGGTTCCTACAATTGCCCCGTACGACAGTCCTGATCCTGCAAATACCCCAGCACAGGTCATCTACCCCGCCCATCGGATCCAATATGCCCACGGTGCGACCATCTGGTCACTCGACTGGCATCCTCTGGGTCATATCTTGGCGTCGGGCTCGAAAGACAATTTCACGCGCTTCTGGTCTCGAGCAAGACCAGGGGAGACTAGTTACATGAAAGACAGATTTCACATCGGCGAGGAGGCTGCAGAAGCCCAAGGAACATGGAGTCGTGGGTTTGGAAGGCGACAGATGCGTGAAGAAGAAGAGCAAGAGGCACAAGACGAGGCTGAAAGCTTGGCTGATCAGAAAAATACTGCCGGCCAGTCGCTTCCCGGGATCCAGATTGCTCCCCCCGGTCTTGGTTCTCTGCAGGCAGGATCTGGCTCGTTGTTACCAGGTATTGGTGCTCCACAATCTGCACCGCAAGCTGGGATGCCTGCATCAATGCCTCAAATGGATCCTGGCCGGCTGGCAGCGCTTCTGTCTCAACAAAACCCCTCTCAGCCTCAGAACTTCCCTCCGACCACAGGCATTCCTGGGTTCCCCATGCCCCCTGCCATGTCAGGCACTCCGCCATTGAATGTCGATCTTGCGGAGCTACAAAAGCAGCTCCTTTCGCAAGGCATTTCTCCTCAAGATTTCGCCTCTTTGGCTGCATCTCTAGGTTCCGCGGGTCTCCCCGGTCTGCAAAGCAGCACGCCCGACAACGCATATCGAAGATGATATTCCCCATGCTCGGATGCTTATATTGAGTTCGACGGGGATATGGCGTAAAGGCGAGCGATATTTCAGCTTTCGGATACAGCTAGGCGTCTTCTCAAGAGAACAAATGTGATGTATCCTTTGGTAGAATATTTTATACCGTTTGTTATGCGAATAGTCACTCGTTGTCGATAGATTGCCTTTTCGCTGGGAATCCAGTCGACGGCATCTCTGTAGCTCCACATTGAGATTCGGCGTTTGCTCAACTCAAGGGTCTAATCGATCCGCCAAAGACTGGGTCTAAGTCCATTATATCGGGCGATTATAAGCCACCTTGCATAGGAAAACTGGACAATATGAGGACCAGGACATTGATACCGCCCCATATCATGGGAATCCATGTAGACATCCTGAAATTACCCGCTTCGTAGACAGCACCGAGTCTCGAAACCAATTAGCCTGGATCTGGTGTTGGAAAGATCGATGAAAATGAAGTTACTTACATGAGACCAATAATACTCCCAGCTAAAAGAGCTTCCAGTGCAGCAATGGCAGAGAACACCAGCGGGACGGCCAGACAAACCCTCCAATTCCGACATTGCGTGACTACAGCACACGCAGCAACGGCAAGGTGGCTAGCTCCATAAAATATAAAAGTCCAGTAAAGGGTGAATCGCCAAATGTCTCGTGTGTAGTAGAGATAGTAGACCTGCGGAGGATGATGAGTCGGCACAGGATCGTATAACGCCGGAAAAGGTGGTGTCTGGTAGTTGATCGGAACGCGGTTGTTGGCCATGGTGCTCAGTGATGGATATTGGCAAAGTCTTTCTCTGCCATGTCACCCTTACAACTTAGGAAAGCGGCGTAAAAACATCTTCGCGAGCCTTGACCTGACGCGATATGTGGAAAGCAATCCAGATCGCTCCAGCCGATAAGATAGGGAGAGTAGGGACAGCTGAAGCTGTGGTGGGTTGTTTGCACTGTTTGCACCCGGTCAACCTAACCTCGGCAGCCGATCTGGGGTCTCCGCGGTAAGCGTGATGTCGGCAGCCAGTCCCGTTGCATTCGTCCATCTTCACATTTCACCCCGTCAGACAGATCGAAATCCTATGAGACGGGTGGCAGCTGTGCCGCTCGCAGTGTGAGTCTAAGATGGCGACAGAACGCTCTCTAGGTGCTCTCTTGCGGTCTCTTCAGTCTACGTCGGAGCTTCGAGATGCTATCAAGTATGGTCATGCCCACCCAAGTTATCCGGCACAAGAATGCTTAACTGACATATTGCTTTCAGCCTTCTGCCCACTGCGACCAGCCTTCTAACTCTCCTGGGGAATCCCCTCAATATCATTCTGCTTTCCTCGCAATTGCTCTCCGCTCCTGCGATATGGGAACAGCCTGTTGACCTACAGACATGTCGGCGAATCATCAGTGTATTCAATACAGCCGCCATTGCGATATTACAAAACGATGAGCCGGCGGAACCTAGATTACCATACGTGAAACCTAGGAAAATTGAACGCGAAGATTGGGTGAAAGCGGTCGTGAGCGGAGCGGATGAGAAATCACCACGTTGGAGACATTTGCTCTTATTGGGTGGTATTCTAATCGGATTTGAAGGTCAGAACAGACAGGGCTTACCGTGGAGCATACGGACGAAACTCGAGTTGGCACTTGTCACGGCTGCGCAACTTGCACTTGAGGAGCTGGTTTCCCGAGACAGCATTGATGCGCAGTGTATCACTTTGGTTTTGAATCATACCTTTGAGCTTTTGTCGTATCACGAGAGAAGCAAAATCAGCTATGACCGATTGCTTCCTGTTTTGATTCAAACAACATATTTCTCCTCTGAGGGCCTAGAAGGAGGATATTTCCTCGGGACCATTGATAAGGATATTGTTGAAGTACCGGGGAAGCGTTTTCAGTGGTCATCTCAGTCTGTCACTTTCCGTCGGGTGACGGCAATCATCTCGAGTCCTCTGATATCAGCTCTGGGTCCCTTGTCTCGACTGATTGCGCATTCGGTTGAGAATGCCAGCGATCCCACTTTAGTTTCTCAATCTGTAGATCAGATTGCCCATTTTGGCCGCACGCTGATGGTCCAATGGCGCCAGAACAAACTATCTGAAATCGATGCATCTGAAGAACTCGAGTTTTTGGATTCTGAGTCACTTAAGTCCACCATTCCAAGCCTATGGAAGCTGCTCCGCAACTGCCTATATTCTGTTGTGATTGTTCTCCGTGCTGTTCTGGGAAGGGTAATCAACGATCACTTTCTTGCAGCTGATAGAAGTGAGTGTCCTGCACTGACAAAATCCGCTGTGCTCTGCATACTGACTCGCTAAGTTGCACCCTACCTTTCAATGCAAGCCCTCCACATCCTTCGCAACTTGTACTTTGTCTCGTCTCGGCTGGGTCAAAACGCATCTTCGCAACACACGTTCGTGACACTTACGGCGGTGGATATCCTTGCACAATATCCGGACCTGGTCGAGAATTTCCTACAGAGCGTCAAACCAAGTGAGCTTGGTCAAATTCCACAGCACCCCATTGAGCGCTGTCTGGATCTCTATTTTATGAATACCGCGGAGCTTTTCACCCCTGTTTTGTCTCCGAAATGCAGTGAGGAGCTTCTAATTTCAGCAACACTCCCGTATCTCGCAGCAGGCGGGAATAACCATTTGCTCGAAATTTTTGAGGCAGCTCATAGTGTGGCTCTTGCTGTCTTTGCCATTCCGGAAAATGCAGCCATAGCAGCTCGGCATCTTCCCTTCTACATCGACAATCTCTTTGCTGTAAGTCCTTCTTTTGGTTTTCCGTCTTTCGCTTTGTGCTCATGATTCAAAGGTCTTTCCTGATAATCTATCCGCCCGCCAATTCCGCCTTGCCTTCAAGACCGTCATTAAAGTGACAGCCCCTCCGTCACTCGTTGCAAATAGCCGGCCGCTACTGCCCTCTATACTCCTCGAAGTTCTGCACGAAAGAGCTCTAAACGCATCCAACAAGATGCTTCCACAATCCACGCAGGGAGCAGCAGATGCTCATCAGGGTCTGCCCCCGCCAGTCTCCGAGCAAGCTGCCTTGATCCTCGCTTTGATAGACAGCCTCTGTTTCCTACGCGTGGAGGACCTCGAGGAGTGGCTGCCATTGACCGCGAATCTGATTCACACGATTCGCACGCCAGAGATGCGTGAAGTTTGCATCGAGCGCTTCTGGGAAGCGTTGAGTAGTGGTGAGATGGATGTCGAGCGCGCTCATTACTGCGTCACCTGGTGGAGTACACGAGGCGGTCGTGAACTTGTGCTATTCGGTAATACAGCCCCAGATGCCGACTCGGGAAGTCATGCAGAGGGCGCCTACATGAGCGGTGCAGTTGGGGGAGTAGCACCGGAGAGCAAACTTTAGACGGGTTCGAAGCGCGCAGCACGGTCAGTCGCGTTGGACTCTATAGCGCAGGGAGTTTGGTTGTATATGGTGATACCATTCTGGCACGTTCTATATATAATTGATACACATTTAATCCTTCTTTGTCTTCCAGATATACAAGTAAATATAGGATGTAAACTTTTACAGATGGGTATTAGAAGATCCCAGGAATGCCAACCCAAGTTCTCTTCTTGTACTCGACGTATTCGTCTCCAAAGAAGCATACCAAAAATTTCTCCTCCCCTACGTTCCGTTAGCCCAATCCACCGGCGGTCAGCAAGACACGGAAGGAACCACTCACGCTTGATCCGATTGTAAAAGAAGTTCCACAACACCGCCGCATACCCAACGAAACAAACCACATTCCCCAGCACCAACTGCGTCCCCATCCCCCACCAAAAGAACCCAAAGTAGCTGGGGTGCCGCAGCACCGCATACACACCGTGCCGCACAAGGGTATGGCCCTCCTGCCGCTCCACCTGCACCGTGTGGTTGAAGTTCGTCCCGGCCTGCTTCATCGCCAGCGTGCGGATCGTCTGCCCACACACCATCAGCGCGATTCCCAGGACGACCTGCCACTTGATCCCGTTGATGGACGCGGTCACGGAGGTGTATCCATCGCGCGGGCCGAGGGTGTGCGAGAGCAGACACTCGGCGACGGCGGAGCTGTGCGCGGCGTTGTAGGCCCAGCCGTTCGAGGAGAGGAGGTACGCTGAGATCGAGGCGTAGCAGGTGTTGTACTGCGCTGTGACCCAGTATTCGAGGAAGTGGAAGAGGGCGAGCGAGGAGATGAAGAAGGGGACGCGCCACAGCGGGTGCGGGGAGATGACGAGGAGGTAGAGCGTGATGCTGGTTGAGATGCCGAGGGCTGTGCCTAGGAGGAAGGCGCGCAGCGATATGCCTGCGAGTGACTTTTCGCCGTCGGGATAGTTGGATGGGTCGAAGGGGGGAGGGGATCGCGATCGCGGCGGCGCGGGTCGCGCGGGTCGCCAGCCTGGTGTGCTGGTGATGTTGTTGGTGTCGGGCTGGCGACCGGAGGAGACGCTTTCGTCTTGGGATGAGGTCTGTTTGGTCATTTTTGGTTTTCGGTCGGGGTGAGGGGTGGAAGTGGCTCTGGTGCCAGGCGTTAGGCAGCTTCTTGGTCTGTTGGCGGAAGCTGTGATGGCCTCAGAGAAGCGTCATAGTCTGGATTATTATAACTTTGGCTGGACGTATAGAGCATGAATGAAGCAGAAAAGGAATATCAATGCATCTTTTGCAAATTAAAGAGAACAATAGTGTATGTTTATCTACGTTGGATCAAGAACAATGCTGATGCATCTGTTGTGGTTATGGGAGGGTTAATGATTAGCCTAACTTTAGGATTGTCCCCAAGCTATTGTTGTCACTTCCCCACTCGACCACAATATGACGCTTCAATCGTTGGAGTCGAACATTGTCTACCAACAAAGAACACGGTTTCTATAGATCCATATCTCCGTAATATGACTTTCACCGGAATGCCATCCGAGAAAGAGAAGATGCTCCGAGGGGAGCTCTACTATGCCTTCACTCCGGACCTGATAGCTGCTAGGACTCGCTGTAAACATGCCTGTCAGCGATTCAACAATGCAGGCGATGTATCCCGCCGGCGACAAATCGAGCTTTGGAAAGAGTAAGTGATATTAAAAAGATTCTCAAATGTGAATGGCACCGAGTACAATCCTGAAGATGGTCTCATAACACGGACAATTTACCTTGAGATGTGGGAGCAGCATGATCTCCTTACTCACTGAACTCCAGCTGATAGTTGATAGCATCGTCGATGACAAGACCCCTCTTCCACCTCCAAAACAGGACCCCGCCGAAGACGATGCTCTTCTATCACGGGAGCCATGGATCGAGGCACCGATCCGGATTGACTACGGGTTCAACGTGCGGCTAGGAGAAGGCGTGTTCATCAACTTCAACTGTGTCATCATCGATACTTGCCTTGTCACTATTGGGGCACGAACGATACTAGGTCCGAACGTCAGTCTATATAGCGGAACTCATCCGCTGGACCCCGCGCTGCGCAATGGAACTGAGGGTCCAGAGCTGGGAAAAGAAATCCATATCGGCGAGGATTGCTGGTTGGCCGGAGACGTGATCGTCCTTCCGGGGGTTACGATTGGGAGGGGAGCGACGATCGGGGCGGGGAGCGTAGTAACTAAGGTATGTCTCCAGTCATAGCAGCTGTGGTCATTTTGTCCTTTTGTCCTTTTGTTCTTGTGACTGATAATGATGGTGGTAGGATGTTCCTGCTTTCCATCTTGCTGCTGGGAATCCAGCTAGGATCATTCGGAAGATTGAGACATCGATGACCGAGTAATGGCACCTATACAAACCTCGGCGTACGTTTCCAAAGTGCATACCTCTCAGTCCTAATGTATGCTAGCATTCTTGTACAAGTCCAAAGTAGCACAAACGCTTCCGTGCGAGGCCCAGATGAGCATCGCAGAAAACAAGACTCAACGGCATGGAAGTAATCAAGGAATTAGTAAACTGAGTAGATTGGTCAAACTTCTAATAGAGATGAAAAGCTGGGCACACTAGAAGTCCATAATAGAAGGCTGGGAAGCTTCTGTGGGGACCAGGAGATTTAGGTTTGGACGAGCATCAGACGAAGATCCTTCCGTGCCTTTCTACAATGGATTCAAATATCTGCCGATGAATCATCAAGCGGCAGTATGTCTCAGACATCATCAAAACTTACTCTTTACTGGCAGAGCTGCGATTATCCGAGCACGCCAATATCTTCTCAGCCTCAGGCACCTTACAATTCCAGATGGTTGGCGGGTTGATCGGCTAATGCAAAGCGTGATAGTCGCATTCTAAATGAATTAAGCTAGATGTGATGCTGTACATGCACGTTACGATGTCCATCATGAGAATCAGTAAGGGGTATGTATAAACGTAATAATAATGATCCTTCGATGTTGACTTCTGAAAAGTCCTCTCAGTACCTTCGCGGCAACCAGGATCTTTTGTATTATACAAGGCTGTAATTGCGATGCGACTTAGTACTAAAAATTTAAGGGCGCTAATTGCAGTGAGAAGTAGATAGTATTATACCTAGTATTCAGAAGAGCATCTTCAGAGGGGCAGGAAACAAGGTAGCTTATTCACCTGCCAGGCGGGGGATTGCAGAATACCTTTCCGTACTCTGTACTTTATTTAGTGTTGTCCTTCTCATAGTACCTTACTGAGAGGCCTTGACTACACCTAGGTACTCCGTAGTACTTTCATACTATGTTGCAGAAAAGATGTTTTAATAATAATAATACATAGGTAGAGTCTTCCTTCCAGGAAAAATGCTTCTCTAAAGGAGGAGCTGTATCAAGGGTTTCTTCTCCACCCAGCCTCACACTCACCTAGACTAGGTACTAGGCTCCATGAGTTCATAGCCTACCAGCGCTTGAATCACACCGTTGACCCACTGGGCCTTCTCCACCACAACGTCAGAGCTGCCTGCTCTTAATTCTAAGGTAGGTTTAATTCTTCTTTCAGCTCTCCAAGCCAAGTCCAAGCTTTTTGATTTGGTGGTGTTTGCTTTGGTTTGTGCTCTCCTCTCCGCCAAACTTGTGATTATTATCATCATCGTCTCACTGATTAAAGTGATAGCTGCCTATCTCAACTTTTTTGTTCTATCTGGTGGTTATCTATGTACCTTTCTGCTTTTCACTCTCTACATAATAATCCATTGACATACCCCCCTTTGCTTCGCACACATACTCTCTCACACACTCTCTTTTCTGTCTTATCACCCCATACACAGAGAGAAATTATTGTCTTATCTGTTTGTGGGTAGATATCAACTTGTCAACCATTACTACATCCTTCTATTATACCTCAAATTTCCCTCACACTTCGATCAGAAGGTAGAGAAAATGTCATGGCAGCTGCCCCGCTAGATAGCTCTAGCACCCCGCCTGACGCTACTCTATCCACCGATTCGACGCGTCCACACGGCCATTCCATGGAAGATCTCGATCCCCAATCCACCCGGAAACGTCCGCGTCTCGACAGTGGAAGCGGTGTTGTTGAGTCGTTGTCGATAGACGAAGCTGCCATTTCTCGAATGTCCAAGCCGACGCCGGCTGCTCCTGCCACGCCCACGCCCGGAACGCCTGATCACGACGTCCCTGCGTCGACTGCCCCCGCCAGCAGAGTGACCATCAATGTGAAATCTCCCACCTCCGATACCATGGCGACAGATTCCTTAGACACTACCGCCGAGCATCCTGGCGCCGGTCCGCCTACTGCTGCCCTAGCCGCTGATTCCCCCAAAGTCGTCTCGATATCGTCGACGCCTGCACAGAGTCCGGAGATTGAGGTGGCCGACTTGGAAGACATGGATCAGGACCCCAACACTTCGACGTGGAGAACGCTCGGGGAAGCTATGCGGGACCCTGCCACACCAGAGGTAGTGCAGCTCCAAGGTCAGCCTCCTTTGAGTGAGACCTTTCCCAAGCTTCGAGAGGCCGATGACCTACGGGAAAACTTGGAGGGGATTGGTGCAATCATCGAGAAAGGTATGCAAGGTGTATTTGATAATTTGGGCGCGTTTTTGAAGCTGCTCGGGACTAACGGAGCTTGGCTGGGCAGGAAGTCAACATGATGTCGGTGTTTTCTTGGCCGTGAAGCACTGGTTCGATGAGATTGCACAGAGCTTGGATCAATTTACTGATGAAACTTACGTGGATGACCGAATCTTCTGGGAAGATTTACCCTTGCTGGTGGAGTCATTGCTTCGCAGAGGGTAAGCAGTCCTCTTGAAACATTAGAAGTCGGTGATTACGACGAGGCGGCAGAGCTTTTCTTTTGCTGACGATCATTCACCCATTATAGGCAGCCTCTGGAGCCTGACGATGGTCAAGGAATCTGGTCTTGCTTGGAGGAATTCCTTATCAACTTTGCTTTGCTTGGCTTTCGTCTGGTGCGCTTGGATATACTAACCTTGACGCAACTGGCCGAAAACACAGATATGCAAGCCGTGGATCTTATGTCAAGGGCATACTTGCAAGCGTTGGGCTGGATATTACAATTACACGGCATTCCCTTCTATCGCGCCATGGAACGCGCCCACGGTTCCGAGATCGTTGATCTTGTCGTTCAGCTCAATATTCGAATTGCGTTCCTCCCAATCGGTACGATCCACCTGCTATCAGAGTATGCTGATTGCCTCCTGGCTCTTGTTTCTAGACCTCAATGGTCGCAGCTCTCTTCTTCCTTGGTGCACACCCTCACTATCGTGCACAACATCATGGACTCCGGGGTCGAGCAATGGAAGATCCGCGAGGAAGAAAGTATCGCTGAATCTGTGTCTCTCCCTCTTTTTCTGAAACAGGTCTATCAGTTCGCTCGGGACATTGATGGGATGTATCAGGTTCACATCGCTAAGAAGTCACCCTGGGTCACAAGCGACGCGAGTGAGTCGATCCTTCGGTGCATCTCGGGTATCTATCTTGCCGTCAGCCGCGATACAAGTTTCACATCGCAGGTCGCCGAAGACCTCTTGATCGAGCTCCCTGAGCATATCTCTCAAGATGAACGTGCCTGGATAATTTATTATGCTTGGAGGTTTGCCGTACTGCAGAAGCATATCAAGGATGGCCGCATGGAGTTGAGGGTTCATGGTATAGAGACCATGCAAGCGGATCTCGTCAACGTATGGCGGCAATATATCCAAAACAATCCCGCAGGCACTGAGCACCCGCTTGTGCGATTCCTCGTCGGCTTCCTGAGGGAGAATGGAATCGTCGATTACATTGTCGGCGTTGATTCGCACCCTCAGCTCATTAGTAGAAGTGGAAATGTCGTCGGCTTCCTGATAGTTACCTCTACTTACGGCGACATAGACACGGATACAATCTGGAAGACGGTGACAGAGTCACAAGATCCCCGGACGGTATCCGAAGTACTTGGGATGCTTACCAGGACATTCCACATGCATTCAGCATTGTCCTCAGCATTAATCTATCTGTGCTCCAAGCTTCTCGAGCTACCCCTGTCTCGGTTTGACGCACGGATGGTGGAGTTCTGTGAGCAACTTCTC